GTGTGTGTGTGTGTACATATATATAATCATAAGCAGCCTCACCTTTCGTCGTTTCGGGAAGGGCATGCCTTGGGCGTCCACAAGAGTCCCGTTCTGCCCCCGGAACACGCCCACACCGCGCGTGTAACACAGGAACTTGGCCGGCTCACTGGTCACCGCCTCTCCCTGGGCGTGGAAGCCAAAGTACTTGTCCATGGACGAGCGGGGAAGGAGCCCATCAGCTGGGAAAGATGCAAAATTATTATTACTGACTTTACTGGCTTTTTTTTTTTTTTTGCTTTTTAAAACTTTTTCCTTCCTCTGGTATCCTTAGGATGTCGAGGGGTGGTGCAGGTTTCGGTCCTGTGCTAGGTGTGTAGCGTCTGTGATAGATGTGTTATGTTGTTCCAGGACCTTTTTTACCCCACCCAGCCAGGTCTTTCTTGGTCTCCCTCTTGATTTGAAGCCGGATTCTCGGGTGTTGAAAGCTCTAGCCGCTAGTTGTTTCTGGGGCATTCTGGTTAGATGTCCAAATCATTCGGCTCTTTAATTGACGTTCTATGAATTTTATTACTGGTGATGTTCCGGTTTGTAGACGTATGGTTTCGTTTCTTATGCGGTCTCTTCTTGTGCCTTGATGGTTTTGCAGAGACACCCCATTTCGTAGGCATTGATTTTTCTTTCTTGTGCCTTTTTTAGAGACCATGTTTGGCACTGGTATGTTAATGTTGATATGAACATGCTATTGATGAGCTGGGATTTCACTTCGGTTGGGATGTTCTTGTGACTGAAAATTATTTTGAAGATAGTAAATCGTTGGCCAGCTCTTAGTGTGTAGATGTACTAAGTGAAAAATTTTGATTTTTTAAAAGCAGTTTTTAAAAAATCTGTGCTATTGTCTCCATGTGCGCAAGAAATAATTCAAATTCTAAATGTTGAAAAAAGCTAGGGAAAATGCATAGTTACAGTTGTTAGGATGAAACAGTTTTTTCTCTCTAGTATATTTTGCTTGCTGGGCTTCGTACATTTATGTATTTTTAACAGCTTGTTGTCGAAATGAAGAGTAGAGGGGAATAGTGGAATATCACTTTTTCTGTTTTTTTTGGGTTTTTTTTACATATCTTTCACTGTTTTTGACTTGTCTGTTTTCTTATCTGTTGCTTGGCGTGTTCCTCTTTGTTCATGGAAAACACAAACGTGTATATTTCAAACTATGTTATAGTATGTTATCGCCTGCCTTGTTTGCAGATTAAGAAAACAGAGCTGGAAAACATGTACGAATGACCAAGTCATGTATCCTTTTGAAAGTGTCCCAAAACAAGGCGTCTTCAATCTTCAAGCGTTGTCTCACGGCCAGAATGCGCGTTTCTCTTGAGTTAAAACAGTCCTACTTGGAGAGAGAGGCAGTACAATGTAGTCAGTCAGTGAGAACAGTTGGAAGAAAGGCAGTAGTCCTCGATATTTTCCTCGTGTTTGATGTCACCACC